GATGGCCCCAAAGCGCGCTCCTCCTACTCCGCCCCCTCCGCCTCAGGAGCAGCAGGCAGAAGCAAACACCGCCTGGCAACAGCGAGCTCCGGCTGCAGTGAGCGGGAGCAGGAGAGGGATGGGCAGGACACAATCTCTCTACACGCTTCTCTTCATCCTCCTCCTCCTTTTCCATTTCATCCTCCTCCTCCTCATCCTCCTTTTCTCCCTCCCTCTCCTCCTCCTCCTCCTCCTCCTCCTCATTTCCTCCTCTTACTCGTTTCTTCATCCTCCTCCTCCTCATTTCCTCCTCCTCCTCCTCCTCCTCCTCCTCCTCCTCCTCCTCTCCCCTCCTCTTACTCCTTCCTCCTCTTGCTCGCTTTCTCGCCTCCCCTCCTCTCCCCTCCTCCACGTCCAAACAGAAAGGTGTAACGCCGCCGCTTCGCAAATCCGCAATGGCTAGAGTTCCGGACAGTCCGGTGACAAACCCGGAAGCGGGAAGCACACGCGGCTGGATGCACATGTGAAGCACGCCGGGGCCACGCGCTGGACACACACATGCGGAGGGCTGGCAATACGAGGGCCGAGCGCTGGAAAGGCATGCGGCCACACGTGCGTCCAGCCTTCGCAAAAACGGGCCGCGCCCCATGTAAAAACGCCCCCCTAACACGCAAACACCGAGAACGTCACGGAAGTGCCTGCCACCCGACTGCTTGGGGACGAGGGCCAGCCCACGGCGATCGAGGCATCCCCGGAAGAGCACAAAGACGGGCACACGCCAACATGGATTACGGATCTGTGGATCTAGCGTGTGTGCCCAAATCCAGGGGTCGGGGAAATTGCAGCCCGAAACTTGGCGCCAGTTCCGCTCGAATTGGCGACAGAGCGCGAAAATGATGCATGGAACAGACCCGTCGCTAACACACGCGCCTTGATCCATGTCTGCGATTCCTGAGCAAAAACAGCCTGCTCACCAAACCACGCCACGGACATCCCCTGGGGTGCGGTCTAACCAGGATGTCGAGGCGAATCCGGCCGTGGTGGCGAGGGAAGGTTATAGCGGTATTGTTATCTCTTCGTCCCCTGATCCTCGGAAGGTCACAAACAAGACGGCACTAGACCTGCTCGCCAAGCCTGCTCACATAAGCTCTCGGAATCGCACGCAGCATGCTCACCTGTCCGCGTGCTCAATGAACCACCGTGGGGCTGGGTCGGAACATCGCCGACGCATCGCCGACGCATCGGCGACGTCGGCGACACATCGGCGCCGTCGGCATGGAGAAATTCAGGCTCCACATCGAGCCGCATCGCCGATGCATCGGCCATGCGTTTCGATCCTCTGGCCCCATCGGCTCGGACCCATTTGGTCGTGCAGTGGAGGCCCGACCACAAGAAACCTTCGACAAGAAACGTAACCCCGAGACCAAAGGACGTCTTTGGATTTTAGGCGCGGGAATGTCACGCTCTCCATCGCAGAGCCATCGAAACCCAAGAGAATCAGGGCACCCCGGAGGCAAGCAGGGTGTTTCTTGGCATGGGCCTCCGCTGTATCGGAATCGCATAGCCTGCTCACTGGGCCGCACGCCCAGGGAATCTCCGTTGATGGGAGTCGGCAAGGGCAGACATGTTGACGCTTTGGCGCTGCGCGAATCACTTCGCGCCGTCGTGGCGGCCCAAAGGCCCGCTCACCAAGCCTGCTCACCAGGCCGTCTCGGCATCTTACAGCCTGCCCACCACCGCCGCACGCTCGACCTCCGTGGGGGTCTGGGAAACACGCACGTATGCGCCAAGCCATGTGCACGAACACGGCCCCCCAGTCCACGAGCCCAGCCTCGCGTTACGAACGCCAGTACAATACACATTTACCATGCCAGCAGGGCGCCCCACGGCTGAAGAGGAGGAGGAGGAGGAGGAGGAGGAGCAGGAGGAGGAGGAGGAGGAGGAGGAGCAGGAGGAGGAGGAGGAGGGGGGAGGGAGGGAAAATGCACCGAATTAACCAACTAATCTGGAGGCTGGGGCCGGACTTGCAGGCGCGCGCGAAAGGTGGCGCGCCAGGCCTCCGCGCCGCCGCCGGCGCGCGCAGCCGCCGCCAGCAGCATCATGGCAGCCCGCGGGGGCAGCGCCTGTGCCCAACCCAGGCACGGCCTCACCGACAGCTGCGCCCACCGTGCCGCCGAAGCGCCGCACCGCAGGCACGCCACCCAGCCGGGCAGCGGCGCGCACCCGCCACGCGGTGCCCGCGAATAGGGCGCAAGCCGCCTCTGCCGGCGTGGGTGGCACGACGACCCCGCTGGCCTCGATGGTTGCCCGTGTCCGCCGGCGCGGTGGCCGCGGGGGCGCAGGCGCCGCGGGCGCTGCGGGCGGCGGCCGAACCCTGGCGGCGCGGGGCCCGCGCGCGGTAGTCCAGCGGCGGCGCACGCGCGGGTCGCCCGGCCCACGGCTCTCGTGGCCGCAGCACGGCGCAATGCACACTTTTACGTCGCAGCGCGGCAGAGGCAATTCGCACGCGCGCTCCGGCAAGCCGGGAGACGGCATCCTTAATAATCCGGCGGCAAGAGCAGGAAAAAAGAAGGGGGCGGCGGCGGGGCAGGGGAAGTGAGGGAGAGCGCTCACGCGGCGGGGGTCGCTGCGGAGCGGCCGGGGCGCCCAACAGGTAGCGCTCTCTCGAACCCCTTCGAACATTCGCGCATGCGTGCGTCGATTCGCCGCTCCAGAACCGTGGCGGTCGGGGCAGCGGCGCCAGCACTCGCGGCTACACCTTGACGCCCAGGCTCGCGAAGGGCTGCAGCCGCTCCCGGTGGACGTTGAAGAGGCAGGGGTCCGCGACGACCGCCTGCGCAGCCAGATGCGCCGCTCCCGGCCAGGGGAGGTTCGAGGCGGCAGAACTTCTGGCGCTTTCGTGGGTTCTCGGCGGTTTGCCGGCCTCGGGATGCTCTCCAGCGGCTGCGCCTCCACGGGAGGGTTCCTGGCGGGCACAGATCGTCCCGAAAGGCCACCTGAAAATCAGCACACATGGCCCCGAAAAAACCGGCCATGGAATCGGAACGTGGCACTCTTTTCGCACCTGGCGTGTTCGCCCGGCCTCGGGCCTCGGGCCATCACGGATCGATGCAGGTCGAAAAGTATACCGAAGGATGGGTCCAGGGCTCGGGACGTGATATTTCGCGATGCTGCATCTCTCGCAACGTCGGATCTCAGGGTTCTCCTCCTCCTCCTCCAACTCCTCTAACTCCTCCAACTCCCCTCATCCTCACTATCATTGTCCAAATCCTCCTCATTTCCCTAGTAATGCTTCTGCTCGACATCCTCCTCGTATTCCTACTCCTCTGCTTCCTCCTCCGTCTCCTCACTCGCCCCCACAACGCATGTTCCCACTTGTCGTCCTCATCATGCTCTTATTGCTGCTCCTCCCCTCCTCATCCTCTTCATCCCTGTCCTGCGTGTTATCCTCATCCCCCTGCTGCTTCCCACCATTGTGTGATTGCTTTCCTTCTTCATTGCACGACTGAGGGCCTAGATGGCGGGAAAGACAATTCAGAGCAGCAGGGGGCCGTAGCATAGAGTGGTGGGCGCCTAACTTCACCTGGGACAAACATCAAGCAATCAAGCGCGAGGGAAGACATGTGCCAAAAGCACTGGGGGGGCAGAGGAGATGACAATCCACTGGTCCCAGGCCCGTGCCAAGCTGGCCGGAACATGTCGAGTACGGCTCGGTAGCTACTCGGGACAAAAACCTATGACATGGTGCTTGCTCGGGCGAAAAGAGCCACTGCGCCCTGAGGAATCGCCATAGCGGGACATGGGGGGTCCGAATCGATCAAGACAACGACCCACTTCTCCGAAAGCACATGCAACTGCCCTAAAAGAAGAGCAACGACATCAACGCGAATTTCGTGGATCGGAACACCCGTCCCTGGCACGCGGAGCGCGCAGGGGGGCGGCGCCAGAGGCGCCGCTACGGGAGAAGTCGCGCGGACCTTCGACAAGAATGTATATGCCGTGTCTTGTGTTTCGATCGCCGAAGACTCCTGCTGTTGCCCACCGCCCGCCCTTCGGCTACTCCTGCCCATCCCCCTGACCCCTGTAGTCGGGGCTGCCTGCAGAGGACGCCCGACAAGACACGCGTCTCTTCCGAGGGCCACCCGTGCTCCAGACATGAAGAGGGCACGAAACGCGACGGGCAAGACAGCAAGGGCAGAGGAAAGCAAAACTGCACGGCAACAAACTCGTGAATGGCCGCACTGATTTCTTGGATCGGTGCTGGACCCGCCTCCGCTGGCGCGGGTGGCGCCGCTAGGGGGGAGCCCAACGCCAATCCCAGACATCTGCGCAGAGCTCCGAAAGCTCGTGCTTTCGCATACGTTTTCATTTCAAGTGCAAATGGTTTAACTTTGATTTTGCAGGGCCGACCTGCTGACCAAGCTTTCCGCGGATTCCCCGAGAGGCACGTATTCATTAGATCGATCAATCCATGGGATCTTCTCCTGGGGTAAGTGAGCGCAAGTTCGATCATCCAGTATCTTTTGTTGACCACCCTGGCTCCCGAAGACAGCCTTCGGACGCCGAAAACGACGAAGAGCTTCGCCCCTCGATTCACTGGCGCTCTCGAGCTTCTCATCGATCGTGAGGTGACAGGTGCCCTTGATTTTCCGCCGCAAGCACCTACTAGCTTCAACCCCAGCTCCGATATAGTACTGAATCCGCTTCTCCTCAAGGAGGCTATAACCACTCCCAAAAAAACGCGCACGGACAGCTGCACGTACCGCTCCGAGGCTCAACGCGGCAGAACTCGAAAGTGGCCAGCCGGGTAGACGCCACAACATTCAAGGCGGGAGGAGCAGGAGGAGGAAGAGGAGGAGGAGGAAGAAGAGGAAGGACTGAAAGACGCCTCCAACGAACTAGGAAATATCACACCCGCCAGTTCGGGTTACGAAAGCGTGCAAAATGAACTGGGCGACAATAAATCGTACCGCTCCCGAATGAAAGCGCCCACGGCTGCCGGCAAACAGCGAAGCCTGCACTCATCGCAAAGATGCCCTGGCTGCCATCGAGCCTGATGGGGGGAGGAGGAAGTGGAGGACAAAGAGGGGGGAGGGGAAAAACACATCAAATCCGCTGGGGCGCGGCGCTGCGAGATATACGGGTAAAAAACGCCCTGGGTTTTTATCGAGTCGAAAGCGGTTGGCCTGATCAACAGACCGCAGGGTCGGCCTGCTGATCAGACCCAGCTGTGAGTCTTTAACCAGCCTTGACCTTCTGCCCAAGATCGGCACAAGCCCAAGGCGATAGCGATCTCTGGGATGCACCGTCAACAACTGAGGCAACCCTCACGATTGGCACAGATCAGGTGATGCCAGTCATGAGGACAGGGACGCGCGCTCCGATGGATGACCGTAGGAGAACCGATGGATGTCTTAAAGAAAACTATGTAGATTCGCTATGGGCCCTTATGCATGCTCAACAATATCATGGATTAAGGAATCCAATGGTTTCCTGAGGATTGCTATGGGTGCCCAAGAGGATTCTTAGAAAGTGCATATGGAATGCGATGGATGCCCAGAGGGTTCCTGAGGATGTCCGAAGGGATTTCCGAAGGAAGCCTCTGGATTTCCAACGGATTCATATGGATGTCCCAAAGAAGTCGATGGATGTCCTAAGAAATCCTACGGATGTCCAGCGGAGTCGCATCGACGTCCTACGCAATATCATGGACGTCAGAAGGACCCCTTGGGTGTCATAAGGAATCCTTTGGAGGTTACTTAGGAATTCCATGGATGTCCTCAGGAACCCGACTGATTTCCGAAGGGCTCCTATGGATGTCCTAAGGGATCCTATGGATATCCGAAGGAATCCGACTTCGTCAAGGAAACCTATGGATTTCTAGGGAGGAATCCAATCGACGTCCTAAACATTCGTATACATTGCCGATGGACCGCCCTATGAATTCTCAAAGAATTCCCATTGGTTCCCCTAGGAACCCGTTGGATTGCTGGAGGAAGTCTGTTGGTTTTGTGCGGGCGTCTACGGACGTCTTCAGAAATCATGCGGGTTGCCCCATAAGCCCATGGGATTTCCTCAAGCACCCATGGATTGCCAAAAGAACCCCCTTTCTCCTCCTGCTTGCGCGCCCCGCCCTAAATGTTCTATACCCGCTGTTTTTCGTCGCCGCAATTGAGTGCCCCCGGGTGAATCTCGTAGATTGCCGAGGGAAGCCAATGGATGCCCGAAGGGGCCCCGTGGCTCCCGCGGAATCCGATGGATGCCCTAAGGAGCCCGATGGACTTCCTCAAGGACCCCATGAATTTCCAAAGGATTTCCATGTTTGTTCGACCAGATTCTGGTTGGTTGCGCAACAAATTTGATGGGCGTCAAGTAATCCAAAAGGTTGCCGAAGGAATCCTACGGATTTCAAAAATTATCCTGGCGAAGGACCCGACCATATGCAATTGTGAATACCGCAATTGTGAATATCTTCTTCGGTGGCGTTCCCTATGGGGCCACGAAACGTGTGAGGGGTGTGCCGAAATGGGTGCGCGGGACGCGTGCGGGCACACCCACTGGGACCTTCGGTGGAGATCCCTATGGGGCCACGAAACGTGTGAGGGGTGTGCCGAAATGGGTGTGCGGGCCGCATGCGGGCACACCCACTGGGACCTTCGGTGGAGCCCCCTACGGGGCCACGAAACGTGCGAAGGATGTGCCGAAATGGGTGTGCGGGACGCATGCGGGCACACCCACTGGGGCCTTCCGTGGAGCTCCCTATGGGAAAACGAAACGTGTGAGGGGTCACGAAACGCGCGAGGGGTGTGCCGAAATGGGTGTGCGGGACGCATGCGGGCACACCCACTGGGGCCTTCGGTGGAGCTCCCTATGGGGCCACGAAACGTGTGAAGAGCATGCCGAAATGGGTGCGCGGGACGCATGCGGGCACACCCACTGGGACCTTCGGCGGAGCTCCCTATGGGGCCATGAAACGTGTGAGGGGTGTGCCAAAATGGGGCGCGTACCGCATGCGGGCTGCGCCACTGCGGCCTAAGGTGGAGCCCCCTATGGGGCCACGAAACGTGTGAGGGGTGTGCCAAAATGGGGCGCGTACCGCATGCGGGCTGCGCCACTGGGGCCTAAGGTGGAGCTCCCTATGGGGCCACGAAACGTGTACGGGGTGTGCCAAAATTGGGCGCGTACCGCATGCAGGCTGGGCCACTGGGACCTTGGGTGGAGCTCCCTATGGGGCCACGAAGCGTGTGATGGGTGTGCCAAAATGGGGCGCGTACCGCATGCGGGCTGCGCCACTGCAGCCTACGTTGGAGCTCCCTATGGGGCCACGAAACGTGAGGTGTGTGCCAAAATTGGGCGCGTACCGCATGCGGGCTGCGCCACTGGGACAATAGGTGGAGCTCCCTATGGGGCCGCGAAACGTGCGAGGGGTGTGCCAAAATTGGGCGCGTACCGCATGCGGGCTGCGCCACTGGGACAATAGGTGGAGCTCCCTATGGGGCCACGAAACGTGTGAGGGGTGTGCCAAAATTGGGCGCGTACCGCATGCGGGCTGCGCCACTGGGACCTCGGGTGGAGCTCCGTATGGGGCCACGAAACGTGTGAGAGGTGAAGAGGATGGTGGGAGGAAGGAGGAGGGGAGAGAGGAGGAGGAAGGAGAGGAGAGGAGAGGAGGAACGCGGGGCGCCGTCTCTTCAAAACGAGGACCCAACACCACAGGATGGTTGGGGAAAAAAAGATTGCCGAATGAATCCTACGGATTTCAAAAAAAATTAGCCTGACGAGGGACCCAACCATATGCAGGTGCGAGTACCGCAATAGTGATTCATTTTTTCGGTGGCGATCCCTATGAGGCAACGAACCGTGCTAGGGGCGTGCCGACATGAGTGGCGTGGTACACAAAGTGAACGAAAACGATTGATCTGAGTACGTAGGGAGACTGAGCGCGGGTGAATCTGCGCGCGTGCGTCTGACTGTGAATGATCTGCGTGCGAGCGAGTCTACGTGCATGAATGCGAATATGACAAAGCGTGGTGCAAATGTGTATGAATGCCAATAGTTTGACAACGACTGCCTCTGAATACTCGTGACGCTGGGCGTGGCCGCCGCAAGGAGCTTCCCCGGGACTCCCCGACGGCATCGCCCGCGCGCCGCGACGCCAATGTCGGCGCGCCCCCCCGCGAGGATCGCGCCCGCTTCCTCCCCTTCCTTTACTCCCTCTTTGCCCGCGCACTCAAAAGTCCAAGGCTGCGGGAGCAGCGCAGCGCGGAGCCCCCGCGACGCGCGCAGGTCACCCCGGAGGGGTCCCAGCGACGCGCGCGGGTCGTCCACTGCGCGGAGCGAAGAGAGCTAGCTGGCTGGCTGATAGCGGGCAAGGCTCTTGCCGCTGGGCAGAGCGACGACGGGCGAGCGAGGCGCTGGGCGGAACGCAGCACGGAGCCCCCGCGACGCGCGCAGGTCGCCCCGGAGGAGTCCCAGCGACGCGCGCGGGTCGCCCGCTGCGCGGAGCAAAGAGAGCTAGCTGGCTGGCTGGGACCTGCGGTGGGGCTCCATATGGGGCCACGTAACGCTGTACTGGGCAAAGGAGACGCATGTGGACTGCGCCACGGGGACCTTCGGTGGAGCTCCCTATGGGGCCACGAAACGTGTGAGGGATGTGCCGGAATGGGTGTGCGGGACGCATGCGGGCACACCCACTGGGACCTTCGGTGGAGCTCCCTATGGGGCCACGAAACGTGTGAGGGGTGGGACGACATGTGTGTGCGGGACGCATGCGGGCACACCCACTGGGACCTTCGGTGGAGCTCCCTATGGGGCCACGAAACGTGTGAGGGGTGTGCCGAAATGGGTGTGCGGGACGCATGCGGGCACACCCACTGGGACCTTCGGTGGAGCTCCCTATGGGGCCACGAAACGTGTGAGGGGTGTGCCGAAATGGGTGTGCGGGACGCATGCGGGCACACCCACTGGGACCTTCGGTGGAGCTCCCTATGGGGCCACGAAACGTGTGAGGGGTGTGCCGAAATGGGTGTGCGGGACGCATGCGGGCACACCCACTGGGACCTTCGGTGGAGCTCCCTATGGGGCCACGAAACGTGTGAGGGGTGTGCCGAAATGGGTGTGCGGGACGCATGCGGGCACACCCACTGGGACCTTCGGTGGAGCCCCCTATGGGGCCACGAAACGTGTGAGGGGTGTGCCGAAATGGGTGTGCGGGACGCATGCGGGCACACCCACTGGGACCTTCGGTGGAGCTCCCTATGGGGCCACGAAACGTGTGAGGGGTGTGCCGAAATGGGTGTGCGGGACGCATGCGGGCACACCACTGGGACCTTCGGTGGGCTCCCTATGGGGCCACGAAACGTGTGAGGGGTGTGCCGAAATGGGTGTGCGGGACGCATGCGGGCACACCCACTGGGACCTTCGGTGGAGCTCCCTATGGGGCCACGAAGCGTGTGAGGGGTGTGCCGAAATGAGTGTGCGGGACGCATGCGGGCACACGCACTGGGACCTTCGGTGGAGCTCCCTATGGGGTCACGAAACGTGTGAGGGGTGTGCCGACATGGGTGGTGATAATGATGATGACGACAGATGATGATGACGATGACGATGATGGGGATGATGACGATGATGATGAAGATGGGAGGAGGGAGGGGGCAGCGGGAAGGAAGGAAGGAACGCGGGGCGACGTCTCTTCAAAACGAGGACCCAACACCACAGGATGGTTGGGAATAAGAAAGAGCCCGATGGAATTTCCCTTAGGAACCCTATGCATGCCCAAAGGATTCCAATGGAGTTCCTCCGGGAGCCTATGGGTTGTCTAAATTTCTGTTCGCAGTGAGTTGTCCGCTCAACCCCTCGCGCAAACGCCCCGCCCGCCCACCCGCGACTTCAGGTCAGGTCAGGTCAAGCCGTAGGCTGGGGCAGCCCATGGGCACGTGCACGGGGCATGGACCGGGACCCCGTCTTTGACGGCATCCGTCCTGCAAGCTGCGGAACGAGGCTGTGGATGTGCATGCATAGATCTGCGGTGCTACAACAGGAGGGGGAAAGGAC